ATTTGAGTTAAACTTACAGTATGTATTTTGGTTTTGTAGTAGACGAATATGATGATTATAATGAGATTGATTATACTTATATACCAAGGGTCTTAGAGAGGTAAGGAAAGAAAAGATGAGGATCTTATTGATCCTAATGTAATCCTTTGTCGTTGCTTGTACCTTATAATTTTAAAATGTTTATACCAATTACTGTACCTGCTTGCTACGTCCCAGCCAAGTCAAGCTGAATTTAAGTTATTGAAACTGCACGTTATATAACGGAGAGGTCTCTAGTACGAAGATAGTTCTCATAAACTAAAGTATCCTTGTCTTTTTTTTAGATCAGTGGACTCGAAACTCTAGTTTGATTCCGAACAACTGGCTATTTATTATAGCATACACAAAGGTGCTCTCATTGTAGTATCCGCTCCTTTAAGATGTAATATAATGTACTAGATTAATGGTACTAAGAAATCATTAGTCCTTAAAAATCATACTAAGAAAATGTTTTCAAGTGTATGAATAATTTTAGCTAATTCAATCTTCTAATCAAACATCACGGATGCAGAATTAAATCGAAAGATCTCGATATTTGTGTGGTAACTGAACCTTTTAAGGTATACTGTATAATATGCTGTACAATACACATTTGCTCTAACTTTAAACGTAAAATTATTTTCTTATGTTTTAGCGTTGCGTATTTGTTTACAATTATAAAGTGACCGTTCCAATTTTTGAGGAAAATATTTTCCAACGTTGCCCAGTAGAAACCAAGAAAGCTACAAAGTTGGTAGCATTTGATATTCTCGGGTGAACGCAAACTACCGTCGTCACTATTTAGTTCAGCAGAACCAGCATTGTATTTGTCACAACAATTTTTATGATTACATTTGTCATTTCGTACTTCCCAATGAGATTCTTCATTACATTTTACGAGAATCGTTGTAAAAAAATGTTCTGTTTTCAAAAATCATATGTACCATCATATATGTATCACTATATATCACACTATATATGGTTGGTATGTGTTATGATATGTATCATGTGTATCATATATGTGTGATATACATATTCTTAAATGTTTGTATTGTAATACTAATTTTGCAGGTCTTAAATGTTCTGTTATACTAATATCGTAGTGCGGAAGGAAGGATTTCAAGTTTTGAAATTGAATTTACCTTAAAATATAACACCAACTCTATTTAATTATTACTTAAAAACTTGCGTAATGTGTTATGAATGGTTGTACCTACAAACATTTACTATTTATTTAATCAAATTTAATTTGGTTTGATTTGCAATTGTGAAAAAAACACGTCGCAAGACTTAGAAGCTCAAAGACAACTGAAACTATTAAAATGTTAAATATCTAACAACCTAAAACAGTAGACATTACAGTTAAGGACTCAGAACTCAGTTAGAACTTTAACATTTGACTTGAGCATTTTAAATGAGCTCGTAGTCATTAACAATATGTTAATTGGAAGAAAACTTTCCATTCATCAATGGATCGAAGATCCGAAGGTACAACAATGCAATTCTGAGTACAATTAAACAGACAGACTTCATCTTGTATTGTTTAGAACGATCATCTAAAAACAGCTGACTGTATTGAGGTTATGGGACATTAATGAGTTTGCCTTGAGAAAAGGTTGTTATTAAGATTTAATAGGCAGTTTTGCTTATACATTATTTTACTTATGAACTGGAAGTGTGGGATTTTATAATAATACAGTTGATGTATACAGGATGTCCCTGAACTCGACGATCCTATTAGTGAATTCGTACCCTGCATCTATGCAACACATTTTTCTGAAGAAAGATGTTTAGAAAGTGCGTAGGTTTTAGTGTATCTATCTGTATGCGATTTTTAATAAATTAATATTAACTTAAGATCCATTTGAGCAAAAACCTGCACCAAGTATGCATTCAGTTTGATGTTTATAGGTTTTACCATTTAAAAATGGCGCATCTTCGAATATTTCAAACTAAAATGTTTGGATCAAATTGAAACAGGTGAAAAATATTATCCAACTAAATTTCAAATTTAGCTCTAATGTATCTTAAGTTATTATATATTTAGTAAAAATCACACAGGGACGGCTGGACATAAATATATGAAATTTCGGTTCATGATTATATCACAAAATATATTTGTACGAGCTGCTATACCCGTGCTTTGCAATGGGAAGAAAATGTGACCTAGAGAGCTATTAAAGTGTTTAAGTGGTGCTGATGTGTGTTTAAAAATACAGCAACTCTATGATTTAATTTGAAAAGATCTTACTAAAAGAATCTTACTACCTACTTTCAAACCCCTACTTTTGATGTTAATAGATCAGAATATGACAACATACCTTAGTGTAGCAATAGCATAAATTTGCTTCATATTGATGCTTCATGAATGAGATGTTTTACCATAATTCTTCAATTTTAGTCAAGCCTCTTTACATGTAGCTTACTATATAAGTTACAAAATTAAATTTTGAGCAATACTTTACAAAACTTATACAGCCTTTTTTTAATACCACCAAACATAACCCTCTTACTAAATAATGCACATTATTTCCTCAATCTACATAAAGTATCACAAACATATTTTTCAAGGAAATAAAAAACACCAGTTTATTGCATTGACCAGCTGTTTCATTAAATAAATTAAATCATTTAAACTTTGGAAGCATGTCAGGCGTAGCCCTTTGGAAATCGCCCTGTGGGGCTGAGCGCTAAGAAATTCATTCATACTAATAACTTTCGGCAAATCTACACACTCTAAGCTTCATTTTGGAGTGCCATATGCATATATTTTTATTTGGTTAATAGCCTTAACCGTTTACATAAAATGTGATTGTATCACTTTAATAATAGATGATAAGATGATAGATAGCTACAAACAACAAGAAACAAATCCACAACAATGGTTCAGGGACTTTTAAGGTATTTATCAGTTTTTACCATAAACTCAGTGAACTGTTACTTAGTGGAGAGAATTGTTACTTAAAACGTACATTGTAATGGTAGAAAACGTCTTACTAATTCTAACTAATTTCTAAGCACATGCCATTTTCGAGTGTATAATTTTTGGACGGGCATAAAAAGATATGCTAAATGCAAAAGCAAAAGTTGTTATTCTAAATGCTAAAGTGCTAAATGCACAAGCGAAATATCATTCGTATTGAAGCGATGTATAATATTTTACCTTTTACCGGATATCACATGGAAAGCCATGAATACTTATAGGTAGAAAACTATCCTAGGTATTACTTTTCGATTTTTCCAAACACATTTAATGCTGTGATGTTGAAATGCAAAAGTATTCATGGTCCATAAACGACTTGTAATATTTTAATTTTTCTATAAATCGAGTTGAAAATTAGGGATTTTAAGAACATCAATTGCACCCTTGGTTGACTAATGACACTATTCTCTCTAGCTTCAAAAAAGTGACATTTTTTCAAATACTATGTACACTGTTAATTGATATTAAAAGAAGTTGTCTATTCTATTATATTCATCCTTTTGAAATAAACTGATAAAAAGAAAATAGTTCCTTTAGGAAACCTTAATGGTTAGGTAGTATTTTTAACATAAATGCAATGAAATAAATATTTATTCGTTATGTATATTTTACATTAGTGTAACATATCAATAGCAAAACTATTACACGTTGGTTTTCATCTAACAACTAAATATATGATATTCATGATATATTATTGTAATTATTAGTAATACAAAATTAAGTAGGAATTGTATAATAAAGAGGAGGAAAACTGTTCGTTACAAAAACTCTTCAACTGAATACTGTATGGATAAAGCAGTTCTAAAATATCTAGCTTTCCTAAAATGCATATTTTATGTCAATTTGATTTGGGTATAGATAGATGTTTGTAGTTTCCTACTCAAAGGAGCTCACATACAACAGTCATAAGTAACATTTTTTTGATAGGAAACTAAAAAGTGTCTCAATAGCCAATAGTATATAGCTGTTCATGGAATTTTTTTGAGAAGGAAGTGAAGGTGTGTTTTGTAACAAATACATAGACGATATACGAGTATGTACATATGATATATTTAAATGAACATTTGACCTTGAAAGGTCAAACTTGACGATTTGCACGTTTGTTTACTCTACGACTTCAACATTGTTCCTTATTTCACAAGACCCAGAATTAGCAACTCCGCAATTCCGATTGTTAAGTAAAACTATTTCTCATCGTGTCGGTTGTCAGACGTTGTTTCCTGTTTTGAGAACATTCCTGAAAAACTTCCGCATGTCATCCTTTGTTGTAGCTTCACGGGAATTTCAATTGTAATAGTAAACGAGTTTATAATAGGATAATTGTATGAACATAACGTTAATTGTTAATACCAACGTGTTGTTACACGTTTGTGGAATACAAAGTTTTAGATTTTAAAGATTTTTGATGTGGAAAGGAATGATATGTGAATAGATGATCTTAGAGGCTGTAGGAATTTAGGATATACATGTTTAGAATTCCATTAAATTAAACGATTTCCTTTTAAAATTGAGATACAAAATTGGGGGAGAGTTGAAATATGTTTCAAAAGTAATGGGGACCTCTCCGACATCATAAAGTTTTTCATGGCGTATTTCTTTGCTGCGTGAACTTCCCTATGTTGACCAATCGTGTTCGACACGGAATTATTTTCACGGAAAGCCAAAAAAGGATGGTGTTACTATGTTATAAGTGCAAGGATTGAAACCTATCCATTATACTAATACAGGTATGCTTTTAGGTTGAAATATCCTTACAATTATCTACAAGTTCTGTTTGGTGTTAGATTATATTAGGCTGGGTTAGCTTTAAGGTAGGACATACACATTTACTATAACTTCAACTTTTTATTGCTACATACACACTATATCATGGTTGCCGTGTAATGGAAAAGGCCACAAGAGTTTGCTTTGAAGTGTAACATCTAGAGTAAACTTAAACATAAGTATGTGTTCGTTACCATTACCCGTGTATTTTCTACATGAGGATTTACGGTTCCAGGCACGGGGATGTGAGAGATGTACGGCCTCCTGGTGGTGTTGTTGGGCGGGTTGCTGACCATGGCCGGAAGCGACCCTTATCCGGCCCCTGGATGTTCCGACCTCTTCGGCGACCCCTCCTGCTCTTGCAGCAGTCTCCGGAGCGAGCAGGTCCTAGACTGTCGGAGACCCTCGGGACTTCACCCTCCGTTCACCTTCGCCTCCGCCCCCGTGGCCTCCTTGACTCTACAGGCCCTAGACACAACTGCTTCCATCATCCCTGACAACACCACGGTCCGCCACTTGTACATATCGCAGTCAAAGCTCAAGCAGTTGAACGCGGGAGTCTTCAAGAAGCTGAGGCACTCTTTGGAAACGCTCAGCATCGTTCAAGGGTACCTCAATGAGATCCCGCAAGAAGCATTGATGGGACTGACGAAATTGAAGAATTTGGATTTGGAGTCAAATCTCATCACGCAAATTCCAAACCATTGTTTCTACGGGCTTTTGCTCTCTTCGATATCTTTTAGGAAAAATGCCATAGAAATTATCGCTGAACACGCATTCATCGGGTTGGAGGAGTCCCTCTCGGAATTAGATTTATCTGTAAACAAACTCAAGTATTTTCCAACACCCGCATTGAAGCGGCTATCTCGACTAGAAAAGCTCAATTTATCTTGGAATAAAATAAACTCAGTTCCTGTGGAAGAAAGTGCCAAACTACAACCTTTGACGTATTTAGATTTAAGTTCTAACGATTTCGATACGATTACGAAACACACGTTTAGATCCACACCGTCTCTTACGACGCTTTCTCTGAGTCGTAATAAGATATCGTTTATCGACAAAGAGTCGTTTTCGAATTTGAAGAGGCTGCATACACTTCACCTGCGCTCTAATCGGCTAATGGAGATCGACAACGATATTTTTCGAGGAAACGGGTACCTGACTATTGTCGATCTCAGCTTTAACCACATTCATAACATTCAAAGCCTATTCTCTTATAATTCTAAACTAACAGAGATATATTTAGCGGACAATAACATTTTAGAAATATACGGAGACACTTTTTCGAACAACACGTTTTTGTCTGTACTTGATCTTCAAGCTAATGCAATACGAAACGTGCATGCTAACGCGTTTGCCCAATTAAAACTTCTAACAAACTTATGTCTAAGTGAAAACTTTCTCACTAGCTTTTCACCATTACTCTTGATTAAGAATACCAATCTAATATCGTTGTATCTTGAAGGAAACCTAATTCAGAGCATTGAAGCTGGGACCTTCTTTAGCTTGAAACGACTAAAAGAGCTAAAACTTCAAAATAACGCACTGGTGAAAATTTGGAGAAGTACGTTCTACCCTTTGCCAAACTTGGTTGAGCTTAATCTTGCAAATAACCTAATAGACAATATTAATCCAGGAGCATTCCTAAGCTTAGGCAAACTAGAAAACTTAGATCTCCAGGGTAATTTTTTGAATAGCCTCGAAGGTTTCTTCCAACAAGTTTATTCAGATAACGAAGTGGGAGTAAATACGACAGAAATTTCAAAACTACATTGTGTGAGACTCAACAACAACCGGTTTACAAGGCTGCACAGTGCACTCTTTGGTGATATGAGTCTGGTCAAGAGTATGTATTTAACAAACAATTCTATATCTTATATAGAGGATTACACTTTCGAATCCTTCAGGTCGATGATGTTGTTGGATCTAAGTTTTAACCGTATAGGTTTCATTACCGTGAGAACATTTTCTGCGCTCTATAATTTGGAAGAGCTTTATTTGTCCAAAAACGACATAAAGCACATAGAAGCCAGATCATTCACAGAGCTGAAAAGATTGAGAATTCTGGATCTGTCAAACAATGAAATCGTTGTGTTGCATAAAGATATTTTCCAACAGGGTCTTCCAATTAGAATAATGAATCTGAAAAACTGTTCCCTAGCTAGTGTAGACAAAGGTACTTTTAGGGGTATGACAAACCTAAATGAGCTTAACCTAGAGTACAACATGCTCGATGGAGACGCATTGTCAGTCTTTGATATTCCTGGATTGCGAAGATTACGACTAGGAAATAATAATATGACCATTATCAACAACAACACATTTAAGAGGCTACCATCTCTTCAGTTTTTGTATTTAGAGAACAATGGGATTAGAAACTTACCTAGTGATGCGTTTGTTTACAATCGAAGGTTAAATTATGTATCTCTATCAAGAAACTGGCTGAAGAGTTTATCTAAAGTGACGCTGTCAGTACTTAGTGATTTGAAAGAGCTTCGCTTAAGCCAAAACCAATTCTCACAGATTCCATATGAAGCTTTAAGTCATCTTCATCATTTGGAAACCCTAGTTCTCTCGGAAAACCTAATCAGGTCTTTTGACGCGTCAAAGCTAGTGGGGCTATGGAAACTGAGGAATTTACAGCTGCAAAGAAACTTCATAACAACTCTTACAGGGTTCTCATCGACACAATGGCCTCATCTGTTTTCCATTGATCTCAGTAAAAACTCCCTTGCAGCTCTTCCTGTCAATTTCTTCCATATGGCAATGTCAGTGAGAATCATCGACTTGTCGTCCAACAGATTTGGCCAAATTCCTTCAGTTGCTCTCTCGGAACAAAACCTACTCCGTCTCACTCAGCTAAGTATCAGTGACAATCCCTTGACCAAGATCAACTGGCATGGAAGTTTCCGCCTTCATCCGTCTTTACAAGAGCTTCATATATCTGGAACAAACCTAACTATCATAACGGAAAGTGATTTCTTGGCATTTCCTTCACTAGAACATCTGATCCTCAGTGGCAACATAATATATAGAATTGGAGATGGCACTTTTGAATCTTTGCCCAAACTGATCACTCTAGATCTGAGCAGAAATGAAATCAACAGATTTTCAAGCTATTTTATCAACAACCTTAACCGTTTACAGTACCTGAATCTTTCCCATAACCGCTTGAAGGACGTGGAAGAGTTTTCAGAGAGTGCAGAATCTATTAAGATATTGGACCTTTCATTTAATCACTTGATGAGAATTGGAAAGTCTTCATTTAAAAATTTGAAATCCCTCAGGGAGTTGTATCTTCAAGGCAACTGGTTATCGTTCATTTCACCGGATGCTCTGAAGCACCAGATAAATATTAAAATACTCCAGCTGCACAAGAACTACTTCGATGATCTTCCACTGAAGGTTTTCCGGTCCGTGGAGCCACAACTTTCGTCTTTAACCACTGAAGGTAATAATAAATCAAATAATCTAGGGCTTATTACAATTAAAATAATAGATCTTGCTACAGTTGAATTTTAAATGTAACATGCATGATTAAATACAACATGTCAAATATACTTGTGAAATATTTCGTTTGCTTGGGAAACTGTTTAAATTAAGTCAAATATTAAACTAGGGGTGGTAAAGTTAGCTGGGACCCGTGGTCTCTCCTCCGCCCCTGGTTTAGATTACTACAACAGCAACCTTCTTCGTTCCTCTTATTTGCTTCTCTCTTTCATTAGGCACTTTGGTAAAGTCGGAAGATGCTGTAAGATAGAGGATCTTACATTGCAGTGCTATGAAGAAAGCTGTAAACCTTTATTTCTTTAAATAAAAACGACCCTTCTTTTTATTCTCAGTCTAAACGGGATGATTGGAAATAAAACAATTTAGTTTCTGAATAGTTCAGCATTAGTGAACTTAATGCAATCTTTAATCGTGTGATGAATTTATTCTCAGATGTAAATGTATGTGTGTAAGTGTAATGATGACGGATGGTTCCTAGGCAACCCCGTGCAGTGCGGATGCAACCAGCAGGAGGTTTGGTACTGGCTTCAGGATCACCAGAAGCTAGTGGATCGTGGACCACGATGTGAGGAACCTCCTCACCTCAGAGCCTTGTGGTTTCTGGGACTGGAACCTCCAGAGTTCTGTTCTCTGCCGCTCATCTCCCGGCTGGTCCTCGACCGGATACAGGCCTCCTCCCTGTCTATCGCCTGGGACAGCCAGGACAAGTCGGGAGTGACGGGGTTCATGGTAGCGCACCATACCTTGGAGAACCCCTCAGAGGTTGGTCAAAATACTACTTGAGCTATTTTATTATACTACAGCGCAGGGGGTGTTCAGCGGATTATCTTACTGTGTGTAGCAGTTTTATTTTCTTGCGTATACCCACAACCTTAGTTTGAGTAATGATACATAAAGAAAAAGACCCACGCAAAGCTATGTCAACGAAAAGATTTTATAAATTACCAATACTAACATAATGTAAAACCATTCACTATACACAAAATAGATTTCCATGTAATGTCAAAATTTAAAGCCACAAAAACGTGGTGCAATCTGTTGAGATGTTCTACCAACTAATGACAATATTCTGTGTCATGTGATAGATCAATCAGCTGTTCGCTATGATACTGCATTTTAATTAATTTTAATTATTAATTAATACGAGAGGTCGTCCAGTGGTCGAAACTCGACCAAAAATACGTAATGTACTCACTTATCTATTTTCACCCCACACTGTAAATAAAACATGTGATTTGAGTTTCTTCCATTTTGTTTTGGTTTTCTGTTTATATTTCGTTGTTATTTTCGTTACCAGCATGGCAACGCATAAGATCCATGTTAATATTTTCAAATTTTTAAACTCATTTTTTGTGCTTATCTTTGAGCCTATTTAAATTTATAAAGGGATTCTGCACACCTACAGGAAAATAGTTTTCTAACGGTATGCGTAGATTTTCCCTACGATGAACACGAGCTGAGAAAAAAGGTTTTAAAGAAACATGCTTGCCTATTAATATATAGATAGATATAACCAAATACACTAGTGCTGGTGAGATAGTCCTGAACTTCATCTATTTTCTTAGCTTCAAATTTGTATAATACATGGAAAGTCTATTCTGTGTATAGTCAATGATAAAATCCAGACTAAATTAGTGACTTTTAACGTTGAAGTATATAGACGTGATTAATACTTCACATGTTTAAACGTAACTGTCGTTTAGGAATAATTTATTTTTATGTTTAATGGAAAAAGAGGTAGTCCCTATACAGTCGCCATAGTTTGGAAAGATTTGGACTAACAACGAATAAAACATCCGACGTATGTTGTTCAAAGGTTTATTGCGGATATTTTCCATCACGAATGTAAAAAACAATACACAACGTTTCGGGATCTGGAATCTGATCTCGTCCTCAGGTGAAAAAAACTTAAGTAACACATTACCACTAACAATACACAAACGCCCAACCTAAGTTGGAATACACTATAGAGGGTAGTAGTCAAAAAATATGCACTGTATAGCAGTCAAGCAATAAATAAAATAGTACAAAATACAACAACAAAATAGTACAAAATAGTAGTATAAATAGTAGTAGTTGTAGTAATAAATAGTAAAATAGTAGTAGTGTAGTAGTAATAGTAGATATTAGTCAGGCAGTAAATGTCCGCAATAAACCTTTGAACAACATTAACTCACCATCACCAACAATGAACTTCAAACAAAGGATCCGACGTATATTGTATTTAAATATTATATAAAATCAATAATATTTGTTTCAATGATAACCCTACTATTAATCTGGTTACTAACCAAATATGCTATCCATAAATGTGTAGCAGAAATTTTGTAACGAAGCGATTCAAATGAACAATTCTCTTATCGGAATAACATTCTTGACATACCACAATGGAAATGGAAATACTTCTCTTTATAATTTCTTTGCCTCTGGTCGGATCATTAACATAAAGAGCTTTTGTGATTTCTTTACACTATTCACTTCTAATATTCTTCAGTCACACGTCCTATAATATAAAAGTTTAGTTATTGTAAGACATTTATCTTAAGATTTAAACGTATTGTGGTTAAACATTGCCTAGACAAATCTTAAAATAAAATATGCTATATTCCACATTTTTATTTCAGCACGATAGTTGAACTGTCAAAATCAACACACATATAGCTGTGTTAAAACGTAATATTACTTACTACCTTACTAAGGTAACCAAGTATTTTAAGGATCAATTGTTGGCGCAGTAGGGAAGTCGCCAAAAAAACCCTTAAATTTGGAGTCAGAATAACAGAAAAACACATGCACTAAGACAAAACACAATTTCTGTATTTTTAATAACTATATAATATGCATTATACATGTAGATAAACACATGATGTAGATGTTGATTTAGATGCACATGATTATTAAAGTGTTGTTTGAAAAAATATGTTTTGTATTAGATATTAACAACACCACAAGTATAAGTTATTATAGGGTTATTATTATAGGGTCATGACTGATGAAATAAATAAGTACCCATCGTGTTTAAAACGCTGAATCTTTATTAATAACAATAACTTCAAATGGAATGGGAGGACGTTAGTTTTAGAACGTCGTAAACAATGCATTTTTAACAAGATATTATCTGGAATGAGTTATATTGATTGGGAATCCTGATATCGATACAATACAAATGTTGTCAAACTCAATGGGATGCGGTATCAGTTTCATTATCAGCTGTTGTATACAAGGATTGTCCACATAAAAGTGGATGATAAAAAGTTGTGAATTCGTCAAGTGTTGTAAATCTAAACATAGGTACAGTGTTGACTAATTTGGCTATAGCTGGGGCTACAGTAGATTAGTAGATTTTCCATACAACTTAGAGTCAATGGGTTTGGCAGAAGTTGATCATACTTTGAAAATTAGGCCTATGTGTGATTTTTAACGCAATACCTCCATTCTTCATCATAATAATATTCAATAAGTGCTACATAATACATGTATGAAAAGGTTTTCTTAATCGTTTAACTGATGGGAATTTTCTACCAGAAATAAGTCTTGAAAACTTTTTAGAATCCTATTTTAAAGAGGAGAAATTTAGGAACGTGTAGTTTTGTGTTCTAAATTCACTTGTATTAATCTAAAAGGCACCAAATGTTGGTTGTTTGTATTTGATATTTAAAGTTCCACTTCCTAAAGTTGTTTAAAACAATTAACCTTCATAGAAAACACTTTAGTAGTACGAACATTAAAGACATTTTCCTTGGCAGTACTTAATTGCTGTAATAGGTAACCTTTTGAAATCCTTCGTAATCATTCTAATCATTTTTTCTTTGATTTACTCTTTTATATAATGTTATTGACATTCTATTATAGATTTTTGTTGCAAGAGAGCCAATCCTTCACTGTCTGCAACTATTGACATCCTATTATAGCTGTTTGTTGCAAGAAGAGCCAGTCCTTCAAAGTGTGCAACTATTGACATCCTATTGTAGATTTTGTTGCAAGAAGAGCCAATCCTTTAGAGTCTGCTCCTGTTGACAAGTTTTTTTTCTTTTAAGCCATTCCATTATGGTTTGCAGCTACCGATGTTCTAATGACCATTTTCTTTGCAAGAACCACTCACAGAAAGTGCAACTATCGACATGTTATCAATACGCTTTATTATTATAGCTCAAGAAACGTAAAAGACAACTGAAGATATGGTTAATCTTTCATATGAGATAAGTATGGTCAAATTGCGTCATAATAACACTTCGATGGAGGCTCCATTCAATACACCCGGTTTGCTAGAAAATTTACCAAACCCTTTTACTTAATAGTGTATGTAAATTAGAATGTGATGAAGAGGCACTTAAAGATTTTGATGGCTTGAAATTTATCAGAGTCCATGTTTATATGTTATATGTATTCAGGTGTCCATGGTGCAAATAGAGAAAGACAGAAGGTCTATGGTACTTCGTGAACTTGCTGTGGACACTTGGTACCTAGTTTGTGTCTTGGGGCTAGGGAGATGGACAACACCTCCTCTCTCTAACACTCGAACAAGTCGATGTATCCAGGTAAGTGGAAAGTTTGGCCCACATTTGTTTGTGTTTGAACACTATTAATGATTTCAATCATGTTTTGAAGTCTACCATTTCAAACATCAATACGGTCGGGCGACTTCATAGTCTTCTGTACAAAGTAAATTTTAAAATACTAAGTAGCTTTACAATCTTACTGTTCTGGATTTTACACTTCACGTGAGTAGGAAATAAATCTTTAAAACTTGTTCTTTTAAAGTAATGTACGAAGCTCATAGGGGCATTCTCAGTTAATTTAGATGCAGATGGGCTTATAAAGAGATTTAACCTTAGTAACCTTAGTTTCACTTGATCGGCCATCCTTATGTAGACGTGTCCTCTGTGTAAAAAAATTATGTTGTCATTTCTATATTGTTTTATTTAGAAACCTTTGCCACGACTTTTGTTTTATCACTCTTCAGTCCTCTATGTTTTAAATTGGGGGTTTTTCCTGGCTGGGTTTGTGTGCTTGTCTACGTTTGTACGTTGCTTGTTACGTTTCAGGTACTTTCGACCCTGAAGACGGTATCAGATTCTTAACTCCGAAACGTTGGGAAAACTTTCCTTTTACTTATAATGATGGAAAATGTCCGCACTCATCTCTAACATACAAATATTGCTGATTAATAAAAACAAGGTTGCCATAAAACTTTCAGTTATTCTGTCTCATCCCTAAGTAAATATAGTCACTTAACTTTCTTCATATAGTTTTTCAAGTGTCTTTTTTACCCTCCACACAGGTTCGCACCCTGGAGAGGGTAGAGGTTCAGGAGGCCGGGGTCATCATGTTCTCACGTCGCCTGGGACTCATGGTAGGAAGTGGAATGGGCTTTGTTGTCTTCCTATTGCTCATTTGCGTCTTAGGATACATAAAGGTACATTAAGGTGTTTGTAGATTATAAATGTTAAATTATGATAGGCTTTTAGCTGAATACATTCTGGTATAATGTGCTAGTCAAGTAATCCCAAAAGTTGCTGTTTAAATTTGAGAAGAGTCAAAATATATTCATTGCTTCGAAACTGGACTCAGCTGTCCATTATCATTGGGCTTTCAATAAATCATGCTGGAAAAACAGCTGATTTTCGTCAGTAACAAAATTATCATTTAACTCATCCTTCACTCACCTTTGGCTTAAAATACAAATACACACTCAGTTGTGTCATTGTGGTAAACATTTAAACTAATCTATACAATTGACTATTTATAAATACAAGTACTTTTGATTGAATATAATTTCGTGAAGATTGCTTGAGAACAAAATAGATTCCCCAAGATTGTTTCACATTGAAACTAACTTTACTAAGTATATTTTTAATTCCATCAATGGGAAAGTTTTGACATGCATCCGTCTTGAAGTTTTGCCTCGCTCGATTCTTCTAAGTACAAAATCACTCCCCTAAGTACTTCTGAACCTGCAGTACACACACACTTTTTAAATATGAATTTGTAATTAGAATAGTTGAGATCTTTAAAGAAATGAGTAGTTTGCTCACTAGGTAACTAATTTAATCGCCAAGGTGAATGACAAAATAGTCACATGCTATCAAATACATATACAAACTAATTTCTTTTAATAAACTCATGTAGTTTATAATATCCGGCTTTTTCAAGGAGATGTCACCCTTGGTAAAATTTCTAATGTTCTTTGTCTACTGTTGTCTAATGTCTAATGTCTAAGCTTGAGTCAGGTTAAAGTAGATTAAGCTAGGCTAGTTTAGGTTGGATTAGTTAACATTCAATTAATTCGCAAAAGGAAAATTATAATATTACAGACTCAATTTTGGAAATTACCTCAATATTCAAATGCCTTTGGCCATATGGTTTTCAGGTGAAGAAGCAAAGACGGCTGATGAAGCGAGGTGAGCTCCAAGACTTCCTCTCGTCCTGTCAAAACAACCAGGAGAACTACCATGTCTGCAACCCTTGACTATCCGCCCCCCAAGTGGGGGTGTACCTGTATGCCGACATGAACCCGTGACCTTGCCTTATCCTTCCGTACTGAATCTTATGTCCCGTCCAGTCCTATCTTCAGGGTGTGGTGTAAGGTAAACCTCCTGGCTGCTTAAAAGAAGCTCTTGACTCTTCGAACCTTTAAATTCTGGGAACATTCATGCTTCCGAAAAGGAAATCTTTTCAGAAAGTTTATCGAGGTTATTTTTTGTAAAAAAAGGATGATGGCTTCTTTTAACATTGCATTTGCCCGTTCATATAGGTCTAAGGTATGTGCTCGAGATCCAGCAAAATGAGGGGTGACTAGATACAGTACAAGAACTGCACTGATAGTTATAGTGGGCACTAAAACGTGAACCCAAAAAGTTACTACTGTGGATTCATAGTCCGTTCCGTTGCAATACATCCTTCTCAAAACTACAAATATACCACCTCCTTCCCTAACAATTTAAAGGTATTTTCATGGTTGAACTGTCCAACTAACCTGGGATAGTTTATCCCAAAAAATGAAAATAGCAAGAGAGGTTTACCTATAAACTTTGACAATAGCTGTAGCAATGTCTTGATTTTTTAGTTTGTCAAGTTTTTGAAGCCATTCAGAGATTCACTTGAATTTGTTGGCTGAATCATTGGTTTATGGATCAATCGCGCTACTGTTGCCCTAAAAACCGTACGCTGTGTAGGAAATATTTTTTTTCTAACGAATAAATTAAACATAAATCAACATAAATTAAACATAATCCAAAGAGTTCTTTTACAGGCAATACAATGTATCAATATAATAGGAACATAATTTCTGTGCAATTCCTGATCAAGATTAAGAAATGATTGAGAGGAATAACGGAATTTTATCAATAATCAAGAAAACCCTGTTTATTAGAGCCTAAGTAGATTAGTCATATGCATGCGTTTTAAGCCACATAGCAAAATTATACCCGTTTCAAACTACAATAGTACAAATGAGTTCGTTTATGCAGCGCCAACAAACGCAGTTAAAAGTATATTTGTCGTAAACGTCCATCTTCTTGTCGTGCGGGAAACCCCGTGCATAAAAGGACACTAATGTATAGTTCTGTCACATGGCAAAATTACGGACTTCTCTACCAACAATAGGGTTTATTACTGTAATTCTTTCTAACAATAGGCTTACATGCATTGATTCATTTCATCATAATGGTTCGGTTGAAACTAATCTGAAACTATTATTAAATGTTCTGCTTACCGTAAACTACTGTCGTTGGTCTGTTAACACCACGGATGCGTACGACAGACAACTAAATCAGCATGATACTTTGAATAAATTCATTTATATTGTTTTTATGTGAAAAAAAAACACACTCATGCCAACACTACGTGCTAAAGAATTAAACAGATTGCATCCAACAGTAATCAATAAACTTAACTATACTGGCATGCAATCTGTCACACTAGGGAGCGAGCTGGTCTAGGGGTAGAGCACAGGGCTTCGGTACTGAGGTCCCGGGTTCAAATCCAACCAAATCACCAATAGAATTTACATAAGTGCTATTACCGCAACCGCTAGACTTAGCCTGAAGTAATATGGAAAACGACCCTGGGCTCGTGCCTAGCGTTCATGACAAAAAAATAAATAAATCAGCTACACTAAAAATAACCTTGGAAGCTCACAAGTATATTATAACGTTCTAAATAATAAATCTAATCATTGAACTCTGAACAGTGACGAAAAATCCGACAAAAGTCGTCATGGTTTTCTATTTCTATGAACATTGAACAAGAATTGTACGAATCATTTGACAACCATAAAACAAATTTTTCAAAATCTCTGACTGGCTTTTGCTTCTTATTTTTCGTAAATATATTTATATTCGTATGGGTTAAATTTATTCGATTCAAGAGACTGGAGATATTCCAGAAAGCAACTAAATATTTTATAGAAGAACTTCCCGCATTCTCTTTTTGTACTTATAAGTTTCTTCAGTGGAGTTTCTTACTTAACAAAACATAAATACTTGAGAACTAAACAAATGGAGTATTTTGTGTTTAACTAACTTCTAACCTGTTTAATATTTCAGCAGTATATTTTAATTTTCTTAAACATACATATAAGTAACGCACAAGATATTAAAGTTGTAAAATATTGTATCACAAATACAAATTTACACTTAAAACGTCCATTTTGGTGATAATTAGTTATTATGTGTAGCTAAAGTAGTTTAATTAGTTTTAAATCGTCTAGTTTTATCAATTAGTTTTGTTAGTATATAAACATTATGTTACCGTCTTAACAGGAACATAGGTTTGAGTTTTTGTCTGTAAACTATATAAAATAAAGTGCACATTTATTTAATGCTAAAAAACTAAGGATTATCATAACCGGTATTAAACGTTTACATTCGTAGTTTTTGTGTAAAATAACCTTGTATTAAAAGTAGACATCAATCTGTTATTTATAAAATGTATTTTAAACATAACACCAGTATAATGTTTAAGTAGTTTTATGTATCTTTGTTTAGATTTAGATCTAGGTAAACCAAAATTCACGATCAGATGTAAAAGTGTCTCGTGCAGCGCCTGGAAGGCAGGGTGGAATAATGTATGTGCTGAGTCGAGCCCTGACAACCTCCCGATTTTATTCGACCGTTTCAAAAATATTTATCTCTCTGGTAAAAAAGTCATACAAATTGTTATTGAATCCTTTCCAATATTTTTTCATCGTGATAAGGATAGAGTTTGTGTTTTTCAAGACGCTGTATTGAAATTAATTGCAACAAAATTATGTATCAAGTTCAATCATTAACTTAAGTTAACTAAAAATAAATAAATATATTTGATATTTGCATACACAGTGACTGAGAGCAAACAAACTATTTGAGACGAATCTTATAGGGTCCTTATCTATACCATGGTACATCCCCGTTTCATCATCTAATTGTAAACGTTATGGTATCAAAAATGTTTTGATAGATTTTGAAGGCTCAATTGGATATGTGATTGGAATTAATTTAGCTGAATACGTACATTTATACTTACTTGTGTGGTCCATCACAATGCTTTTGGCCCCAGGCCCTTTTCATATTTTTCGTACCACTTTGGCATCATAGTATCATTATTGTGGCAAAAAAATGCCATTGCCTTGGCCTAATCATGCCTCCTATGGGGCACAATCATACCATCACTGTGGCAAAATCATGCCATCACTGTAGCAAAATCATACCATGGCTGTAGCAAAAACATATCATGACTGTGGTACAATCATACCATCACTGTGGCAAAATCATACCATCACTATGGCAAAAATTATACCACCACTATTGCAAAATCATACTACCACTAAGGAAAAAATCACACCATCACTAATACAAAAGCATACCATCAATATGGAAAATCATACCATCACTATGGCAAAATCATACTACCAATATTGCAAAATCATATCACCACTAAGGAAAAAATCACACCATCACTAATACAAAATCATACCATCAATATGGAAAATCATACCATCACTATGGCAAAATCATACCATCAATGTGGCAAAATCATACTATCACTGTGGCAAAATCATACCGTCATTTAGGCAAAATCATACCATTACTGTGGCAAAATCATACCATCACTGTGGCAGAATCATACAATCACTATGGCAAAATCATACCGCCTCTATGCAATATCATACCACCTCAACGGAAAAATCATACTGTGGACTTGTAGCTATGGAAAAATCATAACAACAACATGACATAATCATTCCAACCCCATGAAAAAATCATACCACCACTACATACAGCAAAATTATACCCACAATAGGGCAAAATTATACCACTACTCTGGCAAAATCATATTCCTCATATCCCAATCATACCAGTGTTCAGCCTATTGACTTAACATACCACCTCTATGGTTCTATTATTAACCTAATCTATGACTCAAAATACTCTGCTTTCAGTTAAAACGTGTGTGTACCACTTCCCTTATACCTCTATTGTTTTTTGAATTATGTGCAAGAATATGTGCTGGCTGATAAGTTTTTTAATTTAATAAAAAAAAAACATCAACAAAGGTTTACCTATTTCAAATGTAGTTTTGAGTTTATTAACATAATAAACACTTGACAATAAAATAAGTTTTTAACAATTTTAGCGGAATCACTAAATATAATGATAAAATAAGAGTTCTTTGTTAGTTGTGTGTCAGTTCACTGAAGTAGTATACTTTACACTGATTTAGTAAAATATTAGTATTGTTTATTGATATTAGATATTGGTTGACTATAAGACATTGCGTCAAAGATATTGTTATTGGTGATTAAAAGTTGAATGTTGTTAACTGTTAATCCATGTTTGTTGTTAAAAAAGGGCACAGGAGAAGATAAAACACGATAAAAAACTGAGTTCTGATTATTCAAAACCCTTTTTCCTTTTAAGATTTTTCTAAAATATGGATATATAAAGTAATGAAAGAAAGCATTTCCTTTGTATTTATGACCATGTTATAAGTATGTATGTGGTGTATGGGGTATGTGTATATTTACTTCCCCAAAATTCTTGATACTTAATAGAGTTTTCCCTTCGTTTTGTTATACTTGTATAATGAAACGTTGCTTCACATCATCCATATTTTGTCTAGGTTGTACATTTTGGACCAGTTCCAAGATATTCCTTTATTTTCGCTTTCCCAACGACCAAAAATTCTAACCTAATTTTTTATAGCTTAAAATTGGGAAAACCATTCAAATTGTAATTTATTAATCTACAGACTTCTCTATATCTAAATTACTTGATTGTTTAGGCCTGCTTTGAGGTAGAATAAAACTCGAGATTAACTTAAATAAAAATATATTTAATATATACAACGCCCTTGTGGGCTTAAGACAAAGAATAATTCGGTTAAAATCACAAAACCATAAAAAATATCACAGGGCCCCAGGTTTTTGGGAGGGGGGTAACTCTTCTTCCTGGAAACCTGGGTTGTCGAGTCCCCCAGCGCTGGGGGGCGCAGGAGTAACTACCCCTTCCAGTCTAGAGGGGGTAGTCGCAATTGAGTCCACTTTAGCCTGTAAAAAGATAAACTTTATACTTGTAATAATATATTTACACTTATACTGTTTACTCAAAAGACGGTAAATACATATAAAGGGTAGTAAGTGGTGATCGATTTTGATTGGACACTCCAATCATCATCAGACCCAATAGGAAAATGACGAGAATCTCAAAGGTGTCCCTTATATTATTGGCTACAGTAAATACTGGCCAATAAGTTTCTATAAATACTGGAGTAAAAGTTCACTTAATCAATAATGAGCTTATTTCTATTTTAACCCAGAATTTTGACTCAGTTGTATTTATAGAAACTTATTGGCCGGTATTTCCGGTAGCCAATAGTAAATAAGGGACGCCATTGAGAGATTCTCGTAATTTGACTATTGGGTCTTACCATTTTTTATATGTATTTACCGTATTGTGAAACTAACTGTGTAAATCAAAGCACCTGAACCCCTTTAGTGATTTTTATTAAGTGAATAATTCCTTAATCATCATTTTATTGGGGGTTATTTATTTTACAGAAAGGAAAAATATCTAATAACACATAAAAATAATATTAACACCTAAATATATAGGAATAATATAACAATATAAAAGTAGGTGAATGAATTTTTCATGAATGATCTTGATCATTCGCCTATTGGGTCTAATATTGATTTTACTGTCTAAATAATTAATCCAAATCAAAAAGCACTACCATCTTTCATATATATTAAAAAAAAAAAACAGCACAAGTCTCAATACATATTAGTTTCAAGTGTTATTAGACTTATTTTAAGTTAGTTTCCGCTTTATAAAGTATAATCGAAAAGCTTGCGTTGGGTTTCAAGGCACTGTTGGCAGCCGTTTTAATTTTCAGTTACTTTAGTAGTAGTTTTAAATTGAGATGTTTTCAGTACAAAACGTGTGAAATCCTTAAACTAACTCCTTTAGATTATAAACGGATTTTTTTTTAATAATTATTTTTCAATTGAACCAGGTCCCTTGTAATAGATATTCGTGAATATCAAGATATAAACTATTTATTTGAATTATGAGTATCTAAATAATATTACGGTATATTTAGTTTGATACAAAATAACATTTACTAGCCAATTTTTGTATTGGTGAAAATCACTTTTATTTTACATAGACTACTTTCAATGAAAAGAGATTACTACTTGGTTTGAACTTTAATTGGACTTAGCTTAGTTACAAGCAATTAACATTAACCCTAAAACGGTCGTCTTCAACCTACAAACATACTGTCGTTATAAAAAGACTATAGATGTTAAAATTATTAATTGTCTATCAATGTATGAATTTGATTTACTAATTTGACTACATTTTTCCGATCCTCTCACCAACAATTTTGGCTATCATTGACATTATAGTTTGACCAATCAACTTGGATAATGACCAATACAATTAATATCGCAGCAAATTTAAAGTAAACCAAATCCTGGTTATTTTATTTTATTGCGTTGAGCAGTTAAAATTAATAAAAAATTTACCAGGAAAAAGAACTTAATCGTTTTATACACAATTCCAAACTACTTATTTACAAATTATTTACTATTAGCATTTGGAACGACGTTACCATAACTTCGGAAACATAAAAGAGGTAGTTTGAACTTTGAATTCAGCAGATTTTCAATGTTGAAGAGAATGTTTTGTCGTCACCTTTCTAAGGGCTTCTGCCCTCTTGGCCGCACGGGTTTCGGGCTCCACCCCCTTGGCTGCAGGGTTCGTCCCTGATGTAACGGCAAGCTCTGCTCTAAGACGATCCTTTCTATGTTCCGTGTACATCCATCTAACAATAAAAATTAACTCATTTAACTTGGTTGTAATATTTACCTTTGTGATGAAGATCAAGAGGGAATTGACAGAATTAATTTGAAAATGCAAATCAAGGGATACAACAATATTATGAAGATTTTTTACCAAGATAAAAATGAGAATCACAATATCTTGACATTTTTATTTTTACAGTTGTTTAAAAAATTTCCTCAAAGAACATGATGGTGATTTATTCTTATGGACCTACCCGAAAATTATGATTGCAATTTTGCTGATACACTTGCCGAAAAGTGTGCTGATGGGCTTGCCCAGGAAATTCTTTTTGATAGTTCCCTGCAGATCTTACATGGATTTGTTGATTAAAAAAAGTTTAATTGCATTTATGATTGAATCTTTGCTGGTACACTTGCTCAATGGGATTATGACTGAATGACTGATGGACTTACTCGGAAATGAGGATTATCAAAATGTTACTTATGAACTTATGGAAAAACCTGAAGAAAATGATCATATGTTTGCTTACATACTTAAAATAAAATTATATCCAAACGTTTGCTGTTGAACCTACTAAAATTGATGAAGATTAAAAGTTTGCTCAAGGACTTGCCTAAAAATATTGGTGAACAAATTTGTTCGATGAACTTACCCAAAAATGATAACGGCGGGGAAGGTGAGAGCTCCTCCAAGTAGGAAGAAGGCCCCAGGCATCGTGTTCATGGTGGCAGCATACACTGCGGAGTACATGGGTCCATAGACCAGAGGCATGAGGGCTTCACAGACACCGAACAGAGAATTTACCTTGCCTGAACATAGGTTAAAGTTATTTCTTCTCTAGGTCCACCACATGTTTCACATTTTCTTGGAGAGCATGACAATCATTCACATGTTGATACTAGAGAAGACATCCTAGTGTAACCCTTTAAAAGGTTAAAAGGGGTGTCCATACTTTTGCCCAACCCTGAATACATTTGAAGCTCGATAACAAGCCACCCTTGATAACAAGTGCTATCTTCAAATCCCCTAGAGTTTATTTTACCCCTCATCACATGTTGTTGCAAACCTCGACAAGTCAACCTTGATAACAAGTTGTATAATAATCCCCATGAGAGTATTGTTATCAAGGTTCAACTATACGTTACAGAATGTCATTCTCTTTGGATAGTCACACAAATCAGCTGGTGTACGTTATGAAAATTTCTTCTTAATCGGAAATAATAAAAATGTTGCTGTGCTTGTTTAGGGTTATTTTTATTATCAAATTTGTCAAATTTGTTTTTTTCATACTAAGCTAATAAAATTTTTACAAAACATACTTTATTACCTTCCCTGTAGCAGCAAACCTAAGTATTTATTGCAGTTAATTTTATTTCAACAGGGAATACATCTGAACATTTTAAGGGAACATTTTACTAAAAATCCCGTCAGACAAATACATTTTCATTATTAGTCTGCAGGTTTGCTGCAGCAGGGATGGTTACCATTAATAAAGATATTGCAAATCTGAAAAATAAGGAGTTTAATTCGCAACTGAAAAGGAAAAGTACTATAGTATATCAATAAAAACATGGAGCAAAGGGATTCCTTCTCTAACCACTCGTGGGTAATGGCACAAGTTGAGGGGAACTGACAAACTTCGTCGGAGTCGCGCATAACTTGTTCCCATCTTTCTCTGCATTTTATACTTTTAGGTTTCATAGTTTATGGATGAGATTTGGAAAACACCACTTAACTGAGTGTTGTGTTTCGTGACGGAGCAAATTGCAGCTGTAAATGTTTTTCGACCTATAACATTGGAATTGTCCTTAAACTGGATGAAATTTTGAATTTATTAGGTAATTAGAGTACTTATTTATTATTGGTTTGTTTTTGAAAATATATAATATGCAAACAATGTAAATACTGGTAAATATGTATTACTTTCGCCATGGTATTAATTAATTCACTTAAACTATCCTCTTTTAGTGGTGGGAATTATAAAATATTACAGAGAAATATTTTTAGTCCAAGAGACTTACTTCATGGTACCTCATAGACACGTAAAACTGACCCTTAAGTCCTAGACCACTAGATAACACCATTATCACACTGAAAAAAGCTACGATGTTTAAAGATATGTACAAAGTCATTCTATAAACATATCGATACAAAAATGACTCAATAGGGATGATTCTATCAGAACCCCTAAATAAGCTGTAACGTAGTATAGAGTTTGTCCGGACACATAAACCAATAAAATTGTTTTACGTAAATTTTTTTTATGGACAATTGGTTGGATTGTTCAAGGTTAATTATTAAACTGATTGGTAAAACGGGATTTAAATAATACAAGCATAACGGACATGCATACTCTTTAACAACATTTATGGGTTTTAAAGAATGCTATCTAAGTAATGTTACCACTTGGTGAACCTGGTCAATTTTCATCCAAAGGAATACAAATATACTTTTGGAATATAATTTTATTAGGACGAACTATTTCGATGAACTAGTTTGCAACCAATTAAAATTGTCATCAATGGACTTAAGATTTAACTTATTCATTTTAAATGTTGTTTCATATTAAAAGGTCAAACGTTTGCAAACGTAACATACAAACAGAGTTTTGCTGCTTGGTTAAAAAGTTTGAGTCTACAAAGAGAAGAGGTTTCCTTGTTGTAGCTAAATTGAAACATTTAAGTCGTGGTTTGCGTTAAACAAGTTGGGTTCACTGTTTCAACACCAAATTTATAATCTGAAGGTTTAACTGATTTGGTCTGAATTAGCAGTAACAGTTTTTACCGAATTAAGACTAACTGAATGGGTATATATTTACAGACGATTTGTCATAGATGTATTTAAGAGATATTTCCTTTTCATAGGCTACAATCAGACCCTGTTTCTTTATCATTCCTATACATAGTGTTGTTGTTTGTTGGGGTTTATTTTTGTTAGTTCCATAGTTTATTGACTTTTATGTTGTCGTTGCAGTCCTCCTACTGTTATTATTCCTCAATAATTTATTAGCTGTAAGTATTATTTTTCATAAATGTTTGAGAGCATCTAATCGACCATGCTTATATTTAAGGGTGTAAAACAATAACTATCTTAAACCTATGTTTTACTTATTGCAAAATAAATGCCCATGGATTCAACTAAAATAATTTATCACTCAAATATATCTATACATCACCTAAAGTAAATAAAAGTACGTATAATAAGACTCTTGATACATATTGTAAATATATGTTTCAAGATTGTTATTAAACGTATTTGTTTACTTTATGTAAATTTAATAACTTGCATAATGCTGATCAATATGTTATTTATCAATAAAAACGCGAAAATTTAATATTTGTAAGTTTGACTTGGCTAACACAACATATACTTACAATCACACTGAATGAGCTATTGAGTTAAAACAATATTACAACTAAAACAATTTCTTCTTACCTAGCTCTTCAGGAGGCACCAGCTTCGACACTATGGACCTCATGGCGATGAAGGACGTGCCATTGACTATTTCCACAAGAGGAGCTGAGAAGAAAACAGAACATCAGTTATACAACAGGCATAAAACGTGTATAAACCTTGAAGACTTCACGATCTCATACAGCGAAGGAACAATGCGATCCGAATGAGGAAGTAAGAACAAAACGGGAATTACCGACCAATTGGCATAGCGACCTACCTCAAGAAGTAGCAAAAGGAAGATGAAGGGGCCTTGAAAGGAGTAATTACTGTTCTATTTAGAGCCTAGTATTGTCAAGTGATGAGTCAAGGTTGAAGGTTGTCTCTACGTCGAGTAGGCCACTATGTAGTTGATAAAGGCAGCTAAATTTTCTGAGGTTATCAACGCATTTTTTGCATACCTAGATACTATTTAGTGGCCGAAAAGTTTTGAAATAAATGTTGTCAAGCATGAACAGGCGGAAATACTATAGAATGTTCGTGTTAAATAAATAAACAGCGTAAACTCGAAATAAAAGTGCATTTTCAACAGAAAACTGTATTTACGTTAAAAATGTTTAAAAAACTACAACAGACACTTAAAGGGTTTTTCGATAACATTCACTACAATCAAAAGTGCAGCATCCACTTTTAGCCCATATACTGGTACTACCACTTCCCTTTTCTGTCCTTCTACAGAAACATTCACAAATCTATGATAAATAATTATTATTGATTGCAGAATCTGACTGGAGACTCATCTTCTAAACTGACATGTTCAGCTTGTTTGGTCCGTTCAGCAATCGTCTTATATTTAGGTTCAGAACCTTTTTGGCTATTTCCTGACACCCAGCCTCTTTTTGGGCTAAAAACACGTTTGTAGAAGATTTATCTAGTTAAAGAGTTTTACACGGAACAATATTTTGGACTAAAATAATTGTCATATTATTTACTTCAGGGTATTACTTTTTCGCAACATACAAAACATGTAGCATGTAAATAAACCAGGAATATACTCAGAATCCATTCAAATTTAAAAGGAAAGTACACTATACTTTGCAAGGTGGAACAGACTACCCACCGCAAATACAACTGTAATTTATGTTACTCAAATGCAAATGTTTTGGAAAGTAAGGAAACATAATCAAGCAAGAGAAAACTGAAGTGCGTGATAATTTGTGAAGAATCTTCTCGTAATGAAGTACACCTTACAGGAGGGAAATGGTGACAATTATTTGTAGTTAAGTTAGTTAAGTTAACAAATTGGAAAGCATTTGACTTCAGGGTGGATAAAGTGTATGTTCAATCCTTTGTTTAAAACAATTTTCAGTATAGGTGGTTTTGATTTATGTTCTTTGAGTGATCATTGTGACATTGTAGTATAAATAAAGAAATAGTATAAGCTACTCTTGTATGCTCATTCCGTGATAAATTACTCACCTAAGTATATTTGGAAGTCTGTGGTGGCGTAGGCGTAGACAAATCCGGCTAGGATTTTACTCATGCAACTCATAACACCAATCAGAGCGTCATCGATTTTCAGCATGTGGCTGAACACACCAACCGAGACTAGAGTACCTAAAAGAACAGAAGAGCTTCATGACAAAACTACAGGGTCCAGAAAAAAGTGCTTACAGAAATGCTTCAAAGACGGAAGAGGGAAACAAAAGGAGAGCGACTTAGCTATGTGAACAACTCCTTAAAACGAATCGTTCTGTTTGGACTTGCATATTGTGTCAATAATGAAAGTGAATTATTATTGTGATTCTAATCGTATTAATCTATTAACTTCAAAAACCTTAAACAGAGCAACATATTGAAAAGTTACATACCTTTGTTTACAACTTTATATTTTCTTCACAAACAGGTTATGTTTTGTTTGGTTAGGTTAAATTATGAGTATTGAAAAAATCCTTTTTATCAAGGTAATACTTTTGAACATGAAAAAAACTAGCAAGGATAGGAATTATTAGGGTTAATCCCACACACTTTACTTAATTAAAGATTTTTGAGTTTACTGTTTAAGAATCAAAATAATAACTTTAATTCAATTATTGTAGCATGTAGCAAACTGAAATAGGAGAGCAATTCGTTTACAGGAGTCGTTAACTTCGTCTTAACTAAGTAGTAATTTCCTTCCCATTCTCTTCTCCGAAACCCCTCTTTGAGCGCATATTTTCTGAATTCCATAGTTCCAAATAGTTTTGATATTATAGTTATTATACTATTATACTATTGCTTGTTCATTTGGATTTTTTTCATGGGGTATTTGTCTGTTCGTGGTACAATAACAGACAATCAGAACAATTAGCAGATATGCTAGATTAACTATTAGTACCTTGAAATGTTCTAGGTGCAACATTAATTTTATTGTACACCTTTTTAAATAAATACATATTAATAAATAATATATTCACTTAGCATTTACTTTTCTGCAACAAGGTCTTTATTTTTCTGTTCTTGCCAGTTTTCAAAAGTGTTTCTACTAATTTTCTTCAATAATTGTAAAATGACTATAGGATGCACCCTATAATCATAGTTAAAATAGTGAGAGCAACAGTAAAATTACTGTGTCATGATGTGGAAACCACAATAAAACAATAATCATATCGACTCCGTACTCACCGATCAGGTTAGTCATCATACTGTACGTTGAGAATATGCTGTAGTCAACTTCGTTCCAGTTGAACCTGTACCTTGTAAATAGGTACATGACAGTCATCTCGCCTGAAACAAAAAATAGAAAGTTGTAATTATTGTAAAAAAGTAAGCCTTTATTTAAGTGGTTGGTTATGTTTTAGGATATTGGAAAAAACTGATATTTTGCACAACCAGCATAACCAATCATATGTTTTTGATATATGACAGTTATTACTTTCTCTCCCTATACATAGTATATGGAGAAAGTATTGTTTTCGTCAAAATTTTTGAGTTTGAGTTTTGAGTGGATATATCCGTTTTGGGCCCCCTAAACCCAAAAAGTGGGTTTCGAAGTGATGTCTGCGTGTTTGTGTGTGTGTGGATGTGTACAACAGACCACACCTGTATTCCGATTTTAATGGAATTTTGTATGCAGTTATACAAATTAATTTATCCATGATAGCTCCAGGAGTTTCTTTCATTTTTTCTAAATTTTTATTTTGAATGGTGATTTTCCCATTAAACCCAAAAAATAACGGATTTTCTCGAAAATGAACATAACAATTTTGATAAAAAATTTAGTATGTTATAGTCCTTTAGATTCTGAATAAAATGGTACAAATTCAAATTCCGTAAAAGTTGCGGCTCAAAAGTTATTGTAGGTTATGTTATTTTCCCATACAAACCCCATAAAATGAAAAAAAATGGATTTTGGGAAAAACCCGGTTTTGATTAAAATTAATGTGTTATGGTCCTTATAATTACAATCAAAATAATGCAACCCCCCACTGCTGTAACAAAATTACGGTTCAAAAGTTATTGCAACTTTTGTGATTTTCCCTACAAAATTATCATACTTACTCCCACCGCTTACCCATGATAAAGGTTGTTGACAAGCGTATGGGAGAAAGTATGTGTCAGATTGCTGATAACGTTTATTTTTAATCATAATGATATTTATAAAGAAAATTGAGAAATTGAAGTATGAAGGATTCTAAAGACCTTAAGACTCGATGTGGTGTCACTTGGGTCCATCTTGTACAGACATATCCATTGTATTCGTCTTCTCTTTATTTCTTTTATTCTCTGTTTTCTCTCAGTATTTTAGTTATTATTTCACTACTGTGTTATCTGTGTGGTCTTTCTTTTGTGACGCAACTTTGGTTGCGTTTGTTAACTAATTTGGTTTTGTTTTAGATTATTTTTTTAACTGAGATCGTGATTATATTTCAGAAACGTCGCAAAAAGGTGTTTTATTAATCCTAATAAAAATGTCCCTAATTAATCAAATGTCCCTAATATTCAAAGAGCTCACCATCATCAAATAAAACCCTAAAAATAACAGGTCATTTAGCATGTAGCCTTTCTATATGTGGACAGATACCTATTTTCTTCAGTCCTTACTTCTCTACTTGACACCCAAATTTATTCCTACTGATTTCTGGGATGTAGCGGATCATCAATTATTTTCTAGTAACACTAAACAGGACTTCTTGGCGGTATGAAGCCTGAAGCTGTTTTAGTTTGTAGTTGCAAGTTCTTGCTTTGGGTTCTGTATATATTAACAGCAAAGTATATAATCTTGGCAATCTACAGAATGACTTAAGTCTATACATTTCCTTAAGATTTTAGGCAAACTAATAAATAAAGATATTATTTGTGCACTAAAACTATTTCCTTTACAATATTGATATATTTTGTATATAATGTTAGGTTAGGTTAGCTTAGGTTGCTTGGTTTGGATTAGGCGTGTGGAAATGTATATTGCATATGTTCAGAAAATAAACTATTCCATTCAATTATATTCTATTTTATTAGATTAGTCAACGCCAAAAGTCTAGAAAGTCTTTCAACAGCGTATTGTATACTTTACCAGAAGTGCCAACGGGTATTTCAAAGAAAGACTAGGCAAAGTATATAATTACCAAAATTGTTTACCTTTCCTGACTCATTCTATGCAATTTATATATTACCTAGGCATTCTATAGATTACCTTATTATATGCCGGTGAGATATGATATACTACAGTAAAACCACTTAGTAATACTCCTAAACTTCTTACCATCCCAATTAAAATTTTTCCTGGGGTTGTGCATCGGTTTAAAAGTGAAGTTTAAAGTCAAGCCTTTTTGTCTGGGTTTCTTACATGACTTTAAAGCTTGAAATTATCTACTCATAAAGTTTCTTATTGCATACCAATCTTACGTGCCTGTTTAGTAAATTATATTCAATGTTCATATTTAATGAATGAATCTTTTAATTCTGTTTAGATTCATAGAACACGACCAAAATATATGTTTGAATAAAATATTAGCCCAAAATAATTTATTTTAAACCATGATTCGTCTCATTTTTATTTACCAGCTATTATCAACCCAAGCTGTCTTTAACTCCTTCAAAACACATACGAAACTTACACTCATTCACAAAGGTAATGTCATAGAAAAGAGCAAATTGTGTAGGGTCCAACATTAATTGCAAAAATGTTTAAAACAAAATATTAGGAAGTAGGCTATATCACAAGTAGTGTCAAAATTTCCATACTAATCTTCCAGATACTGAAATGAAATGAAATGAAATGAAATGAAACGATATTTATTCGTTATTTATATATTTATTTATATATTTATTCTATAACTTCGTCTATAGACATTATATAAATGCATGAGACACAGTCAAATTATATAAATACATGCTGGTAGAGGCACAAGTCAAGTTCAGGCAACTAATAGTATTAGAAAACAATTAGTGTTCAAGGATACCTAAACTTACACATCATGCAAATAAATAATGGTACAAAAGCAGATGACCATAGACAGGCTGAAAATACATGCAAGGCTGGAATTAGATAATCATATGTGGTTATGTCATTGGTTGTAAAGCAAAAAACTCATCAATCTTATACAGGGAGTTTCTGACAAGCCATTCATAAATTGCATTCTTAAAACTATTGTATGGGAGTTGAATTATTCTTGGCGATAGTTTGTTCCACAACTTTCTACCCATAATAATATGGCTTCTTTTAATCTTTTCCAGTCTTGTAAAAGGAATGTCAAGGTTTTCTCTTTTCCTAGTGTCAAAGCAATGAAAATCACCCCTTAGAGCAAAGGTTTCATGCAACTTAAAACTAGATAACAATACATTATAAATATAAAGGTTTATCACAGTCAAAGCATTAAAGTTAATAAATAATGGTTTACAATGTTCATTCATCTTTGTTGGATCTTTGTTGAATATAGTTCTAATAATCTCTTTTTGGGCAACAAGAACATCATTGATATGGTAACTATTTCCCCAAAGGATTATCCCGTAGCTTAGAATTGACTGTCCTTATCTCTAGTTTTATAAAGTATAATCCAAAACCCCTGCATTGACCTCAAGCATGACTGGACACTGCTTTAATTTAAACTGAGTTATTACTTTACTCGTGGCTTTAAATTGAGTTTAAATATAGCAAGTTTAGCTTTAAATCAACTTCTCTCGGTGTCTGAAACAAGTTTAAAGCAAATATGCCAATAACAGCTTATGCCAATTTTCTAAATTAATTTACTTTTTACTTGTTTATTTACTCAAGAATTATTTTAGTGAATTCCCCACATAGGGAATAAGCTATTACCGTAATACTCATGGTAAGACCTGGACCCGGGACCGATTTACTTTTTCGTTTTGGGGCCCATAGAGGCGAAAAACACCATCCGTTCAAATTCATATTTATAGTGTGTGTCCGTTGTCCGTTAGCACGATAACTCGAGCAAAAATGACTTCGATGAAATTTGGTATAAACGTGTAAACCCACATTTATTCGAACGAGTTCACGAACCAGCATGATCGGACTATGGGAACGGGGGTTTATGGGGGTTTTATGGGGTAAAAATAGGGGTTTCCCATTTTTAACCCTAAAACACAAAATTTCACATTGTATTTCCAAACAAATTTGGAGAGCTTAAAAAACAAATAATCTAGTATATTGAAGCGTTATTGTGTGCCTAGTGGTTACGGAGAAAATTCCAAAAAATCCTATGTTATCCTTATGGAGAATAAGTCATCTGTAGTTTGCTTGTTTGTGAACATATTTTGTTCGAATTTTGAAAATAAATTTATTTCTTACTAAACTATTAACATAAAAAACACTTTTAACCCCCCCCCCCCCCTGTTGCAACAAACCTAAGTACTCGTTAAACTAACTCTATTAAAATAGGGAATAAATGTGATATTTTAAAGGAGGCATTTTAGTGTAAATCCAATCTGGCTAATGAAAAACCGCTTAGTCTGCTGGTTTGCTGCGGCGGGGGTATTTTAACTTAATTGTGTTTCATACAGAATATTTGCGCATGATCAACAACACTGTTTGAATGTGGAAGAGGTAAAAAAGCGAAACAATAAATATTATGGAAGTATGTTGAAAGGAAATTAACCGTCTGATGTTGACATGAATCAAGTAACGCACGCAAATTTACCGTATTATGACATTGGGAGGTTCAGGTCCACAATCGTGAGGTTTATAAGGACATGAAGTTGAAAATAAATAATTATAATTATTTTTAGGTCGTTGAAAAGATTATTTGTTACAAGGCCAATTCTGTCAACAACAAAATACTATCACGATAAGTACATACACAATACCAAACTAATAACATACATTAATAACATTAACTTACACATTAACATTAACACATTGACATTAACTAATAACATTAATAATAGACTAAACACACAAACTAGTTTTTGTAGTAAAAAGAAAAAAAAAACAAAATTGGTGAGGATTTCTCGATATAATAACATCCAAACAGATGCAATTATTATTGTTACACAGTAACCTGCCAAGAAATAACAGCTGATACTAATGAGCAAAACCTAACTTGATGTTTAGGCCTAACTATTAGGCCTAAAATACCGGGAAATAACGGCTTATAAAGTTTACATAATCTATAGTATAATAAACATGATGGACGAGAAGATCAACTACACTAATAATGAATTAAAATGACAGGGATGGGTTTTTTTTATTTGCTTTTCTCTATCTTCCTTAGATATATCCATATTAGAAATGAAGACTGCTCTATAAGACTCTGATAATTTTCTCAGAA